TTCCCCCTCTGCACAGCACAGCCCTCATCCCACCACCACCACCACCGCACACACACCATTATCAAGAACAAGGTCAGGCTTATTCTGGAATACCTAGAATATTCGCACATTGCCTTTATTAAACAGGAAGGTGTTGCATTTGAATTTTATAGGAGGGACCTGAGGAAAAATGATCCTGCTTATACTCCGATGTCCAGAACTCCGAGGCACGGGGTCTCCTTGTGTTTATCTGCACATGCTCCCTGGCTGTCTTGAATGAGAGCAAAGAAAGTCCACATCTTTTAGTGAGAAGGCCAATCAGCCAGGGCCATCCTGGAGAGAATGTATAGGCTCTCGGGCCAATTTTTCTTCTTTCCATCATCCCTGACACAAATAGAAGACAGTTTTTGTTTGTTTGCTTGTTTTTTTAAATTCTGCTTTAGGTGAAATTTCGCAGAGTAAATTAGATCCTCATTAAACAGTTAATACACAAATTGGTTTGTGGACATTGGTTGCCAACCCTGTGATGTGTCAACAATCTTCCCTTCTTCACCCTGGGTTCCCTGTTTCCATTCGTCCAGTTTTCCTATCCCTTCCTGCTTTCTTGTCTTTGCTTTTGGGCTGGTGTGCCCATTAGTCTCATATACATGATTGAACTATGAACCATGTCCCTCACGAGTGTTATTGTTGGCCCTATAGACCTATCTAATCTTTGGCTGAAGGGTGAACCTCAGGAGTGATTTAAGTACTGAGTTAAAAGGTATCCAGGATGTCTTCAGTCTCTGACAGACCAAGCAAGCCTGGTCTTTTTTTTTTTTTTGTGAATATGAATTTTGTTATACAATTTTTCCCACTCTGTCCAGGACCCTCTATTGTGATCCCTGCCAGAGCAGTCAGTGGTGGTAACCGGGCATCATCTAGTTGTTCTGGGCTCAGTCTGGTGGAGGCTGTGGTAGTTTTAGCCCATTAGTCTTTTGGACTAATCTTTCCCTTGTGTCTTTGGTTTTCTTCATTCTCCTTTGATCCAGCGGGGACGGGACTAGTAGATGTATCTTGGACGGCAGCTCACAGGCTTTGAAGACCTCAGTTGCTACTCACCACAGTTGTCCATAGAAGACTTTCTTTATAGACTATGTTATGCCAGTGGAGCTAGATGTCCCCCAAGACCGTGGTCCCGAGTCCTTAGCCCAGTAGCTCAATCCCTGAGGGTGTTTGGATGTGTCTGTGAAGCTTCTATGACTTTACCCAGGTCAAGTTGTGCTGACTTCTCCAAAACTGTGTACTGTCTTAACCTTCACTGAAGTCACCGCTTACCTACTATCCAGTTAGTATTTTTCCCTCTCCACCCCTCCGCTCCCTCGTAAACAGCAAAGATTATTTCTTTCTGTATGTAAACCTTTTCTTGAGTTTGTATAGTGGTGGTCTCATACAGTATTTGTCCTTTTGTGATTGACTTATTTCGCTCAGCATAATACCCTCCAGATTCATCCATGTTGTGAGATGTTTCACAGATTCATCCTTCTTCTTTATCATTGCGTAGTATTCCATTGTGTGTATATCCCATAGTTTGTTTATCCATTCATCTGTTGTTGGGCACTTAGGTTGTTTCCATCTCTTTGCTATTGTGAATAATGCTACAATGAACATGAGCGTGCATATATGTCTATTTGTGTGACTGCTCTTATTTCTATAGGATATATTCCTAGGAGTGGGATTGCTGGATCATATAGTACTTTTATTTCTGCATTTTTAAGGAAGTACCGTATCATTTTCCAAAATGGTTGTACCATTTTGCATTCCCACCAGCAGTGCGTAAGAGTTCCAATCTCCCCGCAACCTCTCCAACATTTGTTATTTTCTGTTTTTTTTTTTTTTTTGATTTGTGCCAGTAATGCTGGGGTGAAATGGTATCTCATTGTAGTTTTGATTTGCATTTCTCTAATGGTTACTGATCGTGAGCATTTCTTCAAGTGTCTGTTAGCCGCCTGGACGTCTTCTTTGGTGAAATGTCTGTTCATATTCTTTGCCCATTTTTTAATTGGATTATTTGCCTTTTTATTATAGAGGTGTTGGATTTTCCTACAGATTTTAGAGATTAGACCATTGTTGGATATGTCATAGCCAAAAAATGTTTCCCAGCCTGTAGGTTCTCTTTTTATTCTTTTGGTGAAGTCTTTTGATGAGCATAAGTGTTTAATTTATAGACGATCCCAGTTATCTAGCTAATCTGCTGCTGTTTGTGTATTGTTAGTTATGGTTTGTATCCTGTTCATGCCGTGTATCAGGGCCCCTAGCATTGACCCTATTTTTTCTTCTATGATCTTTATAGGTTTTAGTTTTATATTTAGGTCTTTGATTCATTTTGAGTTAGTTTTTGTGTATTGTGCGAGCTACGGGTCCTCTTTCATTTTTTTTACAGATGGACATCCAGTTTTGCCAGTACCACTTATTTAAAGGACTGTCTTTTCCCCGTTTAGTGGACTTTGAGCCTTTGTTAAAGATCAGGTGGCTAGAAGACAATTTTGATGACTGAGATTTCATAGTCTAAGAGTGAGTCTCCCGATATTTTTAAAAGATTAATGTTTTCTTTGTAATTTTTCCTACTCCCTCTAGAGTATTAAAGTTTTCTTCTACTTTACTAACCTAGAAATTCATAACACAATAGACTATCAATAGAAATAAAAATCATCTTACTGGTCCTTGTCAGATTTACCTAGTGCTGCCATAACACAAATAACACAAGTGGATGGCTTTAAAGAACAGGAATTTATTTTCTCACAGTTCAGGAGGCTGGAAGCCTGAATTCAGGCTGTGGCTCTAGGAGGAAGTCCTTCCTTATCTGAAGCCCCATGAGGTCCTTGGCATTCTTTAGTGTCAGTCTTTCCACTGTGTCTGTCTCTGTGTATATTCTGCTCTTTTTATAACTCAGAAGTGATTAGGTTTAGGACCCACTCTACTCTTATATAACCTCAGAACATAACAGAAGAAAACCCTTATTTCCAAACAGGATTGTATTTACAAGTACAAGGGTTAGACTCAGCACGTATTTTGGAGAAAATACAATTCAATTCATAATAAAATCAAACCAAAACCAAACCTGTTGCCACTGAGTCGATTCCGACTCATAGCCACCCTATAGGACAGAGTAGAACTGTCCCATAGGGTTTCCAAGGAGTGGCCGGTGGATTTGAACTGTTGACCTTTTGGTTAGTAGTCAAGCTCTTAACCACTTGGCTGCCAGGGCTACAAAAATAATCCTATTGAAAAAGATAGTAAGCCTTGGCTTTATAAATAAACAATTTAGTCTCATCCTTCTTCTACAGCCCCTCAGAATCCAAGCTTTAGTGTGAGGGATAATGGATTATACTTCTGAATAAAAAGTGTAAAGTTGTCAAAAGAGTGAGGCTATTGCCTACCATTTAGTAGAAAGGAAAAAACTTTTGGATATAGTCTCTTTTTTAAAGAAATTCTTTGATCCTACAACAGTATATAATAGAGAAAAGAGAAAGACAGCCTTATTAAGAAATTTTGCATTTGTAAAATTAGATTTGGAATAGTGAGAGATGATGACAAATGTACAAAAATATTACAAAGGGTCTCTCCACCCCTATACTTGGTGATTCCATTAAGTTCTTTAAAATAGAATAATTGAAAAATCTGTACCCTGCAAAGCCAAGATCTTTTACTGAAATTTTCTAGTTTGTCCTTCAAAATATTTATTTCTACTCTGTAAAATGTCTAGGTAGAGGCAAAAACTATTTTTAAGTTTTTCTAATGTCAACCCTTAAGCATAGTTCCATGCACTTATATTTGAAACTAGGTCTCTGTTGGAAGATGTCCAGGGACCCCATAGACTCAAAGGGTTCTGGAAAAAAAGTTAATAACCCTCTTTCCTTGTTACTAAAAAAGACCCAAGCAAGGTGTTTAATACATCCGCAGGGAACAGCAAGCTGCCTGCACTGTTAGCTCAAACAGCCCGAATTCAGAGCTTTCATCTTATCCTGCTAACACTTTACGAAGATATTTGTTGCAGTAAAATTGATTGACAGTGAAATTGGCAATTCAAAAAGCATTTAGGTATCTCTTCCTTTTTAATTCCATTAGATGAGATTAACCTAACTGGCTTAGCCATTCATCAGGATCTCCGGACCCAGTCCTCTGAGACTAGCTTAGAATCTGAGGCCAAGTTCCTTCATTCTGTCAATCTAATTAGCACTGAGAAGAGCTTCTAAAACATGAGTTTATGCCCTGATCTGGATTCCAAAATTGGAACCATCTAAAAAATGCCCTTATTTTCTACCATTTACAAAGTGTATTGATCGGCACACACACACAAAAAAGATATCCATATTCCCTCAATTAAGGAGTACAGTTAGCCCGTCATGCAACAGGTGTCTTTTCCCTAGGACCTACTGTGCGCCCTCAGGATGGAATCAGAGCTAGTGCAGGAATCTGTAAAAATGTTGATAGCAAATGTTATTAGACTTTGGTCGGGTACCACAGAGCCCCATCTCTTAAAATCATTTGCAATCCTTCTCCAATCCTTCCTACACAGCACTCAGTCATCCAGAAAGTCCCGCTATTGTCATGATAACGCTGGTGGGAGAGGGAGGAGGAGAGTGGAGCACAAAGGTTAAGAGAAAATCCTTTGCTTAGGGTTCCTGGGAGCTGAAGCCTTGGTTACTTAACACAGTGAAGAATTAGAATGCACGCTCTCCTCATGCTCCTGGCCGCACTGCTGCTGTGCCTTGTAGGAACTCATATAATTGTGATTTGGGAAAGACAGGCCTGGCACCTTTGCAAACATTTTAAGTTGTGGACTCAAAAGGAGAGGGAGAGGCAAGGGGAACAGAGGCAACCTTAACAGCAAGGAGTCCAGTGGGTTTTCTTTCTTTCCCCACCATTAGCTAGTGTGTCAATAGGAGGTAAGAAACAGGTTGTTCTTTGGGGTTGTGGTCCTGCTGGTTTCTGTTTAACCTGGAGCGCTTACTAATTGGTCTGTATTTCTCTTTCCAACCCAGGACAGCTTTCCTGCCCGTTTTGGAGGAGTCCACTTTGTCAACCAGCCCTGGTACATTCACGCCCTGTACACACTCATCAAACCATTCCTTAAAGACAAGACAAGGAAAAGGGTAATGAAAACAAACGTATTATGGAAATTCCCAACAAAGAATGTACAGTGATCACTATGGTGACCCTTCTCTCAATCGCTCTTCCTCTCTCTCTCTCCCTCTCTCTCTCCCCCAACCCTTATTTTTCACGTGACTTTTCTGCTTTTCTTCAGCCACTGAGCATTTGAACCTCAGCTGGAGTTTGCAAATGGTGTGAATTTAATCAATAATTCAGTAGAACTGGGTTATTTTCAGAGTCCCCATGACAACCCAAAGGAAACTTTGAAGGCATGCAAATACCAGATGGTCATTTTACTGGAAAATGTTCATAGGAGATACTAGGTCCAGCAGCATCTTTTTCATGGAATATTTTAAGAGCTAATGTTTTGTCCTGCAAATGTATTATCCCTCTGAAAAATGTTTATAATTTCTTTAGCTTTTTTCCATGTTCTTGGGTCATAGCTGCCAACTCCATCACCTGCCTTCTTCATTGGAAATAACGAGGCTCTTCTGCAGAAGACTTGTAGATCTCAGTCTCATCAGCTGATATTTGGGAAGTCAGCATCTTGCATTAGAGCTGGGCTGTCTCGTGGCATTCTGATTAGTTGAGTAACTGAACATTCCTTGAGCACTTTGATTTTTAGTTTCCTCGTCTATAAAATGGAGAAACTAATACCGACATCACAGGGTTGTTGGAGTCATTTAATGAGACAGCATATTAAGGCATGTAGTGTAACACCACTCATGTAGCAGAGACTTGGGGACCTTTATTTGTCTTACCGTTTAGCTCTCTTCTCTTCAAGACTTTTAGATTTCAGTTACCTCCTGGGTCAGGAGCACCGCTCCTCAAGGGAACCTCACCAAGGACCTTCTTACCAACTTTGCACCCAGAAGACCCAACACCAGAGAAGAACTCTGGGTGTTCAGGGGGCCCTTATTGAAGGATCCCCCCGCCACACACACACACTGCATGACTCCTAATTTCTAGACCTCAGGTGCTCCCAGGTCTTAAAGGAGCATAGTAGTAAGGTACCAGTTAACAGTTGCCATCAAGTTGATTCCGACTCATGGCAACCCCAGGGGTGTCAGAGTGGAACTGTGTTCCATAGGATTTTCAATGGCTGATTTTTCAGAAGTAGATTGCCAGGCCTTTCTTTCAAGGTGCTGCTGGATGGATTCAACCTCCAACCTTTTGTTTAGCAGCTGAGCACTTTAACTGTTTGCACCACCCTGGGACTTCTGTACTAGGGCATGGGAGGTGAAAGCCACTATTGTCAAATGAGTGTGGAACTAGAAACAAGAACTCAATCCACATGGGGCTAGGACAGTGCCATGGGCAGAGAAGTGTTTGAGACTGTTCCCAATACGACCTAGGCAGCCCACCAGCTTCATAGTCTACTCAGGAAGGAACCCAAGGGAATTCCTCCCACAAAGCAATGGATACTTGCTGCTGTGCTGTAAAATGGAGTTTCTGGAGCCCTGGGCACAAAGCAGAATCTGATGGGTGGAAAGTCCAGCCTCCCCCTGCTTTGTTTCTCGGACTGTCCAGCAGGACCTCCAGAAGTGAGGAGCAGCCTCCATAGCCCTTCTCCTTGTTTCAGAACCCGAAGTGTTAGGTCAATGGGTACGAATGTTTGCTCTAAACACCAGGACTAATATTAGTGCCAGCTTTTCCCTGCTTCAAATGCTACAGTCTCCCCTCTAAGGAGTTTTGGCAAATGCCTGAATAAGTGAATTTCTTCAAAAGAAATTAGTTTTATTCAAATTCAATCATACACAAATCCAGGGTTAAAAATTGTACATTGTTTTCTGAAGCACTACAATATTCTTCTGAAAAATCTACCACTTAGCTTTTTGTTCCCTTTACCTTTAAATGATGCTATTTAAACCCAGTACTATGGAGCAAGGTAGAAAGTGTTTATTACTGAAGTCCTGTATTTATGTATCTAAAATCACATTTGTAGTTCATCATGGTTAGCTGTGGTGTGTGTGTGGGGGAGATGGCAGTGTGCAGGCAGTGTATATTTGATGTATATTTGATGTATAATTGTTGCCCTATACTTGGGTGTAACTTATTTGTACTGAGCCTGAACATAAAGAAACGTGCCAACAATGCCATTATACAGACGCACTTTAAATAAACTTTCAAGAGTCAGTTTTTCAACTGTGGCTTGTCTGCTTTGCAGATTTGTCTGAATGCAGCTGCAGTTTAGAGGTGTGTCCTCCCCTGCTTGACCAGTGTTCCTCATCATTCATTGTATACTTAGAAGATATAAACACATTTGGGTCTTAGTCCTCAATCCAGACAAAAATGGAGAATTGAAGCAAAATTATCCCACAATAAATCCCCAGCTTTCAATATTTGAATCAAAAGTTTTCAATTCCATTGACTAAGAATTGATCGAGTTCCTTCATTGAACCCACCCACCCTGGGAGCCGAGAAGCAGCAACCCTTGCCCTAAGAATACTTCTGTCCCTGTGGGGAAGCAAGACATAAAGGAATAAGTCAGAAAAAAAAAATAGAAGCCTGTAGATAATGAAGAGTTAATTGGCAGGGGGCGGGAAGGGGCAGATGTCACTGTGGCAGATTCAGGAAGAAGCTACAGCTTGCTCTAAGCCGGAGGAGAATGGGAAGGATTTGGGAGGTATAGAGGGCAGGAAAGTTCTGCAGGTGGGAGAACAGAGGCTGGCTGAGACCTGCGTGACAAGCATGATTGGTGTTTTGGGGGATGTGTGTCACTACTCCTTTCATTAGCAGAGATAATTAGGAGATGACTGTATGTATAAATTTGGGCTATGGCCAAATAATACCCAATTTGTTCATAAACTTTATTTTTAAGGACTATTAATTCAGCCCCTTTTCTGAGCAATAAATTTGCATTTTATGAAGACTCAGTCACAGACACAGAAATGAATGCCTCTTTAAACACCATGATCACCAGAAGTGCATCCAATTTGTCATTGCTAAATTGTGTATTAGATTAAATGCTGGGTCATATGTTTCAGATTTTTTATTGCTAATTTTTCTTCCTTTCCAGATTTTTCTGCATGGAAACAATCTAAACAGCCTTCACCAGCTAATACAACCTGAATTTTTGCCCTCTGAATTTGGAGGGACCCTTCCTCCTTATGACATGGGGACGTGGGCTCGGACGTTGCTCGGTCCTGACTACAGTGATGAAAATGACTATACTCACACTTCTTACAATGCAATGCATGTGAAACATACGTCCTCCAATCTGGAGAGAGAATGCTCCCCCAAGCCGATGAAAAGGTAAGGCCTGGACCAGCAGAGCCTCCCAGCAGAGGTCAAGAGGCATTTTTTATTTGGGTCTATTGTGAATTAAGTAACTGAAGACTTTATGCGAACAGGACTTGAATAAAATAAATTGCAATACATTCTCAGCTGATTTCACTAGAATTGAAAGCAAATGGGGCTTAGCTGGCCCAAAAATACAGTTGTCCCCTTTGCATTAAAAGGACAGTTAAAGACTAGGATCTCAGTCATGGCCTGGTTACAGCCCTGATCTCTACTGAGATTCTATACCCAGAATGAAATGTGGGGACCTTTGAGACACACTAGATGGGAAAACAACCTGCCAGAAAACCTTTCCATCATTCATCCATTTGGAACCATTTATTGAGCATTTACTTGGCTCCAGGCACTAACCAGGCACTGGGGGTATAAATATGAATAAGACATCACAAGAATAAAGATATGTGCCTGTCTCTAAAGGAGCAAAACCAGTGAGGTGTGTATATATATACATATGTATATGTATGTATGTATATGTACATATGTATGCATGCGTATATGCATATATGCATATGTATAGATAGACAAATTTACTTCAAGGAAATGGCTCCAACAATTGTGGGGGATGGTAAGTCCCAAATCTGTAGGTTAGGCAGCAGTGTGGAGACCTCTGCTGGCTGATGGGTTTGCAAGGGCTAGCAAATTCAAAATCTGCAGGCCAGGCTGCAGGCCGGAGACTTCCACCAGCCCAAGATCTAGAGGTCAGATGACAAGAAGAGTGCATGGTCAAGAGAGAAAGAAAGACTTCCCCTAGAGTCAGTGCCCTGAATTCAGACTTCTTGCCTCCTAAACTGTGAGAAAATAAATTTCTGTTTGTTAAAGCCACCCACTTGTATTTCTGTCACAGCAGCACTAAGAAGCTAAGGCAGAATTTGGTACTAGGAGTGGGGCGCTACTCTAACAAATACCTAAAATGTGGAGGTGGTTTTGGAATTGGGTAATGGGTAGAGGCTGGAGGAATTTTGATATGCTTCATCGTAAGGTCCTAGTTTGCCTTGAATCTGGAGAGCACAGCCAACACCCAGAGTCTAGAGGACAGGGCCATTGCCCAGATGGTCCTAGAGAACAGAGGATTATTTTTAAGACTTGAGGTTTAATGTAATTTGTTCTGCTGGGGTTTGGACTTGCTTGATACCTGTGATTTCTCCCATTTGAAATGGGAATGTCTGCCTTGTGCCTGTGCACCTTTGTACTTTGGAAGCACAGATAGGGGAAGTTAGATACCACGCCTCATGAAGATCACCAAGGAATCAAGGAGCAAAAGCTGAAAAGAGACAAGGACCTTCCCCCTGAGACAACATAGAGAGAAAGCCTTCCCCTAGAGCTGGTGACTTGAATCTGGATTTGTAGACTCCTAAAACTATGAGAAAATAAATTTCTGCTTGTTAAAGCCACGCACCTGTGGTATTTCTGTTGTAGCAGCACTAAGAAACTAGGACAGTGCCTCCGGAAAGTCTTCTAAGTAAGACTTTTTTGCAAGGTATTTATAAAGCAAGGGGCATTTGAGCTGGACTCTGAAGCATGAAGATTAGTAACTCAGGCTTTAAAAAGGGAAAAGGCATTCCAAGTAGAGGGGACAGCCTAGGTAGAGGTTTGGGGGCCGTAGAGTGTGGGATATTCTAGGATGGCATGTAACCTGGGAATATGGAGGTACAGGGTAGACATGGAAATAAAATTCAAACAAAATAGTTGGATCCTGATGTGAAGTACATTAATTACTATATTCAATTGGCTGCCATGGAGGAGTTTTTTTTTTTAATTTGATATGCAAATAATATATAAGTACTTTCTCACTGTAAAAACTGAAACTTTATTTCTGAGGCTAAAATCCCCTTCCACTACCATCCCTAATCTCTAATCCCTTTCCATAGGTAACAACTGTTATGAGAATGGAGTGTGCCTCTCCATTCTGTTGTCCATTTATCACAAACATCTGTACGTACCCATAACACCAAACCACTTGTTGTCAAGTTGATTCTGACTCATGGCCATCCCATGTGCATCAAAGTAGAACTGTGCTTCACAGGGTTTTCAATGGCTGAGTTTTCAGAAGCAGATCAGCAGGCCTTTCTTCTGAGACACCTCTGGGTGGACTCCAACCTCCAACATTTTGGTTAGCAGCCAAGCATGTTAACCATTTGCACCACCCATGTACGTACCCATATAAAACATTTAATATTGTCATGTAACATCTTTCCATGTCAGAATATCTAGACATATCTTTTTTCCCATGTTGCAAAGCGTTTCAGAGCATACAACTCAATGTCCAACACATAGTAGACATACAGCAGCTACTCTATAAATGCTCATCGAATAAGTGAATGAATTAATGTTGAATGAAAACTGCTAACTCCAAAATCCATTCTCAGAGCACTTGTCCAATTGCTTCAACCAAATTGTCAGCTCCTAGAAGGAAAAGCCAATTTTCCCTGTCTTTAACAGGCTCTCATGAATCTTGCCTCCCAGGATCTTAACATCCTAACTTGTTGCTGTCGAGTTGGTTCTGACTCATGGCGACCCCATGTGTGTCAGAGCTGAACTAAGCTCCACAGAGTTTTCAATGGCTGATTTTTTGGAAGTGGATCACCAGGCCTTTTTTCCGAGACACCTCTGGGTGGTCTCAAACCTCAAACTTTTCAGTTAGCAGCTGAATGCACCACTCAGGGACTCTCCTTACATCCTAGCTGGGGAGATAAGACTTGCGCACAAGTAACTCTAGCACAGTGCAGAATGGGATAAGTACTGTAACAAGGTGTTAGAACCTGCTCTAGTGTTGTGAGGGAACATCACTCATTTCAGCCAGGGGGACTCAGAGAGGTCTTCACGCAGGAAGATGTAGCTGAACTGGACTTGGAGAACAGTGCATTTCTTTGATATCTGAGTCACAGTCCAAGACTAGCTTGACAGGCTAGCAGTTCTACACACAACTCCTTCCCCCCACCAAGGTGTGACTTCTCCACCCTGCTGCCCTTTGTGACAGCATCCTTTAGCTTTTGCCCATAGACTGCAGGCAGCAGCTGGCCCAGGCAGTAAGCAGGCTGTGTGTCATCACCAAGGCCAACAAGGAGGGACTGCACCTCCTGTTGAAATGTGTCTGCCATCAGGTGCCTTAATGATGGATGTGGTTCCCGCCGAGAAAATTACAGGAACTGGACAGCCATGATTCATAGTATCTATTTGACCCCTCAGAACCCATAGGGCCATGGGAAAATTGAAAACAGAATTAGAAGAGACCTTAAAGGTCACCTACTCCATGTTCCCACCTGATAGAGTGGTCTGTTCTCCAGCACCCCTTACAGATTGCCAGCCAGCCGCAGTCTGAACCAGCCCAGTGACAGGCAGGCCGCCCGGGGGCAGGTTGTCCCCTGCTGCATAGCCTGCTTAGAAAGTGGGTAAGAGGAGTATATTGTCGTCATCCCTGCAGTAGTTTCCAGTGTGCCTCAGGCCCATATGGAGTTAAATGGGCTTTTGTGAACAGTCCTTGGGCCCTAATCACTTTTTATTATTTAGTTTCTAAGCAGAAGTGTTTTTGAGCTCCAAGTGGCTGTCTTGACTGATGAATTTTGGAATTCACATGTAGTAAAATGCAAGAAATCTGTAATTCTCAGAAAATGAGTGGTTTTAACAAGCTCCTTTTTCAAGGTAATTGTGAGTCAACCCTTTAAGCAGAAAAACTTTTTAAAATTACTACTTTAGATGGAAATTTCTCTAAACAGATTTTAATATTGTCCTGCATTCTAATACAATGGGATTTTGAGGTGAGTGGCATTCTCTGCTTTGATACAAAATGACCCTGGGTTATGCATTTTTAACTTTTTGTTTCAGTTTATTTTAATTTTCAGAGCCTACTTTCCTGCTCCCAGGCTATCTGCTTTCCATTCTCAGGAGTGTGATTGTGCGAAGCATCTCATTTCCTCCTACATAATTCGCTACTTGAACATGTTTTAGGCTTGGAAAGTAGATAGCCAAACTTATTAAAAGTGTCCAACAAAAAATAGGCTTTGTATTAGTTATGATTACTTTAGCTGCAGATAAGAGAAAATTCCACCTGAACCGCTTTAAACAGTAAGGAAAAGTTATTATTTCACATAATGAGAGTCTCAAAGCAGGTGGCTGCAGGATTGTTTATTTCAGGGGCTCAGTGGTGTCAGCAAGAACCCAGGGCCTCTTTGTGTCTCCACTCCATCCAGCATCATTGGCATCTCAGTCAGGAGTCTCCCCCTGAGCCCAGCGGGAGAAGAATGCCCGAACACAAGAGCTTTCGCCCACTGGAAAGGAGGAGGGGAGGGCGTGGGGTTGTCAAGCAACAGTTCTGCTTCCGGCTTAAGAGTGCAGGCCTGACATTCCTGCCCTGGGAAGTAAGGGTATGATCTTGAATCAGTGCGTAGATTTTTGTGACATCGCTTCCAATTACTGGGAAGTGTTTTTAAATTACTTCCTGCTTCTAGCCTTTGTCTCTGATAAAGTAATTAAAATGCCTATAGATATTATATATATATATATATAGAGAGAGAGAGAGAGAGGGAGCCCTGGTGGTGCAATAGTTAAGAGTTTGGCTACTAACCAAAGGGTCAGCAGTTCAAATCTACCAGCAGCTCCTTGGAAACCCTATGGGGCAGTTCTACTCCGTCCTGTAGGGCCACTATGAGTCGGAATCGACTTGATGACAATGGGTTTTCGGCTTATATATGTATATATATGTATGTGTAAAAAACCATTGCCATAGAGTTGATTTGGACTCATAGTGACCTTATGGGACAGTAGAACTGCACCCCCTCCCCCCATAGGGTTTCCAAGGCTGTGATCTTTACGGAAGCAGATTGCCACATCTTTGTCCAGCAGAATGGCTGGTGGGTTTGAACTTCTGATCTTTCAGTTAGCAGCCCAGTGCTTTAACCACTGGGCCACCAGGGCACCTTCTATAAAGTTATACACACACAGAAACACACTATCTTGAT